AAAAATATTTTTATTGGGTTTCGATATATTTGTAAGACAACTACCAATAATCTTTATAAATGATGAATCGAATGGCCATGATGGATAGAAATCGATATCATTGGTATTCTTAAATAGTTTTCTTAATAATTTAGGTATAATCCGAAACAAAAATGATTGATCCTCATTTAATTGAGACTTATCAATCCATGACTGAATGATTTCAGCAAATGGTGTTTGTAATAAAGTAAAAAATTTATGCTGAGCAACTGATACTAATATTGATCCACTAATAGGTATAATTGCATAAAGAATATCATTGAGTTTTCCAAGTTGTTCTTTCCCACGAGAATGTTTTAGTAGACGTACAAATTTATCAAGAAAATGTGTTAATTCAGCTGTCGAAATAGCTTTTGCTTTGCTAGAGATCATCTCACAATAATCAGTAATTGAGTGTGAATATCTTAAAGGATATTGTGATGGCTGCTGTTGATCATACATTGAATAGAATTTTCTATGAACTATTGGTGACTCATAGAACATTTGCATATTTGTATTTGAATTACGAATAATATATAAGTTTTACTTTATGGATAAATATAAAAATTGCTTTATTGATATTTAAGGCTATTGTATCTAGACAAGATTGTAATGGTTTGTTTTCGTGTAATGTGTATGATCATGTGTATTTTGCTCTTATTCTATTATCACCTATCATTTATAGTAGGTAAAAAATTAAATGTTATAAAGAGGCTACACTTGTTTACAAAAAGAAAAATATGACACGATGTATCATCAAAAGAAAATGGCCTTGTAAATGTATTTGACTGAAATAATACCCTTACATAAATAAAAATGAGCATATTTATTTATTTATAAACAGGATTAAGGAGAATCGAAATAATCATTTTGTTAAATTTAGGTTAACAGAATATTATTTTACTAACATATTTGTATCCCAATCATTCATACTATGTATGACCTTCAAACCTATGTGTTTTTTTTCAGTTTCCGCTCTATTGATCAATGTGAGTAATGATATAGGGTGTGGGTTCATGTCTTCTTAGAACTCACACACCTACACCTACCCACACCCGACTAAATAGTCTATACATCTTTTCTTTAATACGTTTTGATGAGTACGTCCAGATCTATATGTCTTAATCTATACATCTCTTTTTTTTATCCATCTTAATGAGTACGACTAAGACTTTATGTGATAGAAATAGCACTGATTGACTCTATTTTTCTCTTGTACGAAAGAACTCGATTTGAAAAATTGAAAATAGTCTATTTCATCTGCTCCATTAGAAAATCTCTTCAAGAGCTAAAATTATATTTTTTCTCATCTTTTTATCAAAACACTGTCGTGATCTTCGTTTTTGTGTTGGAACGTCTAATAAAAAATAGTGAAGTCGAATATGTGATCTTGTGAAGAAAAAGTCGTTGGCTTATATAAAATTTTATTGGTTACACTTAAGATATAGCTATAAAAATGATGACTGTTAATTTATTCTCACAAATTTCTCATCTTGATAACAGAACCTATAGGTTATTTTGTATTGATATAACAACTGCAATATTTATTCATTTGCACTGATACTATCTTCTATCATTCATATTAACACATATTTACAACA